TAAACCGAATAAAATAATGTTCCTGATCCTTTGAATTATTTATACCGTTTTGTTTACGTAAAATTCATTCTAAATAGTACCATTGTTTTGTTGAATTATCACCAAAAGTATAATGTTATTTTATCAAACAATAAAAGAAAAGTAGTTCTTTATAAACTTAAGAAGACAAAATTAAATAAATTAAAATTAATTGTTGTATTGCTATTATATTGGAATTAGTTGTATTGCCATTATATTGCTATTAGTTACAGCTTATGAATTTGTATTTTTTGAAACTCATTTAATAGTATTAAATAACTAAAACACATTAACTATATTAAATCAAAAATATTTTTAACTACAGAAATTGTTGTAGTTATTATATATTTTATATATGCTGAACTGTTTAACTTTCTGAGATCCGTATTTTGATAACTAAAAAGTGTTATTTTTATTTAACTAAGAAATGGAAGATAGTGTGAAAATATATAACTAAGAAAAAAGTGAGCTTCTACATGCAATAAAATATTTCGTTCTTCAAAAAAAAATTATGTATTAAACTTAATTAACATTTTTAATAACTATTCCTAAATATTACATAAAAATTCAAAATAAAAAATAATATTTTTAAAAACCACGTTTTTGTTGTGGAGAATAATAATTTTAAAAAAATTTGAAAAACGAAAAACGTGGAGCGCATGAAATACATAACAGTAATGTTATAGTGTGTGTATGTGTGCTCTTGAGAATATGTGTATGGTATATCTGTAATTGTAATTGTATCTGAATGTGGATGTGGAATATGTTTGTGTATATGCATATGTATGTGGNGGTTTCTTAACCGAATAAAATAATGTTCCTGATCCTTTGAATAGTTTATACCGTTTTGGTTAAGGAAAATTCGTTCTAAATAGCACCATTGTTTTGCTGAATTATCACCAAAAGTATAATATTATTTTATCAAACAACAAAAGAAAAGTAGTTCTTTATATATTTAGGAAGACAAAATTAACTAAAGTGAAATTAACGGTATTTTAGTTACAGTTATTGGAATTAGTTGTATTGCTATTACATTGCTATTAATTACAGTTTATGAATTTTGCATTTTTTGATACTCATTTAATAGCATTAAATAACTAAAACACATAAACTTTTTTAAACCAAAATATTTTTAAATACAGAAATTGTTGCAGTCGTTATATATTTTATATATGCTGAACTGATTAACTTTCTGAGATACAAATTTTAATAACAAAAAAGTGTTATTTTTATTTAACTGCGAAATGGAAGATAGGGTGAAATATATAACTAAGAAAAAAGTTAACTTCTACATGCAATAAATATTTCTTTTTTCAAAAAAAAATTATGTACTAAGCTTAATTAACATTTTTAATAACTATTCCTAAATATTACATAAAAATGATACTTTTTAATTTTTAGTATTTTTGGTAGCTATTCTTAATGCGTAATTTATCACAGTTTGACCATGAAAGAATATCTACTAGACTCAAATAATATGTTATTTATGTGATATTCAGCTTTCTAGGAAACTTGAATCATGTTTCGTAAGAGATTTTTTTATAAGAGATTTATTTTCTAAAAGATAATTTTCATGTGATTAAATTATATAAAATGGTGTCCAATGGACTCTGGGTCATAGGATATTGAACTATATCTGTTTTATTTAATATTTGTTAGATTTGCGCCTTAGAACATAATTTTAAATTTAAATAAACTGAAGTTTTTTGAGCTAGAAACGGTTTTCTACAGGGTGAATAAAATTACCAAACTGTAAGGTAAATTAATTTCTCGTAAAAAAAAATTCCGGTAATAAAACTAAAATATACGGTATATAAATCATTCATTTGGTAATTCTTTACCGGGAATTCTGGTTTTAAAAATTGTAGTTCCTATTACCACACATTAATAAAAATATGAAACTGAAAAGTAAAATTCACCGATTAGATGGTTTTTATGTAATGTGCGAAGATATCTACATAAAATGGCCAAATTTTATCACATATTATGAAACCATACTTTATCGTTAATTTTTTCAAAATAATTACTAAAGCACTTAGTTAAAAATTACAGTACTTTTGGTGTTCTCATACAGCAAGAAACACGGTAAATGTTACCATATTCTGGTAGTTTTGACCACACTTTTTTTCTCGGTGTAAAATGAAAACACTGATTATATATGTTGTTTAATAAAGCAGTAAATAATGATGTCTCTTTAAAAGAGATTATAAAAATTCTAATAATGGAGGTGAATGAAAATTTATTGTCTTCTTTATTCGCAAATAATTAAGGGCATCGCTGTTGAGCCTCATTTAGATAAAATTTCTTAATCCCAAAACCAACAGAATATTCTTATACCTACGAAAAAATTAATTGCATATTCCTGCTGTCAGAAACTTCATCAGAGATTAAACAAAACATTTTATTACGGTTCGTAATCCTAAAAAAATGTCTTTAATTAGTCCAACATTAAGGAAAACATCGTTTTTCGTTTTAATTAAGCGAAGATTTTTTTGTTTTGCATTACGTGAGATTTTTTTTCTTCACTTGATGGAGAAGTGAATTCTATCTTGTTTTAAGTTTAGAATTTTTGTTTAGTTTCAGCAAAAATAATTAGTAAAACATTATAATTAATTTTTTTTAATTAAACTGATTAATGTTTGATGTTATGTTTCGCTAGAAATCTAATTTCCTCGAACACTTGAGATTTTCTTAATAAAAACAAACAGTATGATTTTTTTGAGATTAAGTGTGAAATGTCTGCAATAGTATTTTGATGTTATTTGCTTTAAAATTTTGCTATTAATTTTTGTAAAATTTAAATTAAAAGCTAAATGCGACATACAACTTTAATTGATGTAAAAATTTAATTTAAATTCATATTTAATAAATATGTAAAATAATTACACTATTTACATATATATATTTCTACATTTAATTTAATAAATCATAATCATTAGTTTACATTTTCGTTCATATAGCTAGGCGATTATTGATGTAAAAATATAATTTATTTTTATTTGTAAGTTTATATATTTATAAGTTTATATATTTATACATTTTATTAATAAGTTTTATTTATAAATATTACAATTTTGTATAGCTCATGAAACTTAAAGTTTTTTTTTTTATCGAAATACCATTCAGTTAAATGTAATCAAATTTGTTAGAAATAATTTCTAGGATTTTGAAGGAATAGTAATGGTATAGACTGGTGGTGAGTCGGTGGTTGTAAGTTCGATTCTGGCTGACGATTAAACAATCAGCTAGTATACATACTAAGGTGCACGTTAAATCTATTCTGGCTAAAATTCCTCTCGTTGGTTGCGGTGTGGAAGTTCGGAAAAAGTGGTACTAGCTTAGAAGCTGTCTATGTCGTCTGACCGCAAAGCTAAATATCAACTTCTTCTTTTTATTTTTATTTTTCTGAGAAAATTATTTTTAACAAAATACTACTTTATTACATTGAATGCGAAAAGTGCGCAGAAAAAATTATAGAAAAAATTGTGGTAAAATGAAAAAATGTATTGCAAAGATTACCGGCACTAAGGGTGAACTGTATTACTCTAAAAATTACAAACTTCATGAAAAATTATGAAAATTACTGTGATCTATATTTCTGTAGAAATTAAAAACTACATTACTGTAAAAATTATGGTATCATATTTCATAGTAAAAATTGGTTTTACGGTAAAATGACTTTTTCGGATGACGCGATTAAAGTACTTTATCGTACTCTGATCTTGAATTTTTTTTTTGTATAGTTATTCTCAAAGTAGTATTTTAAATAGTACTTTAAAAAGTATTTGTTCACATTAGATTATATAATTCATCAATGACCAAACCAAAATAAAAAATTTTATTGTTTAAAATTAAAATATTTATTTATTTATTTAATTACTGCCTTTCTTTAACCCATGTAATAGTGTAAAGCATTTACATCTTCACTTTATAAATGATTCCCCAGATTTTAAAAATCCTTCCTAAATTCGAATACAATATGATACACAGCCCTTCAATGCAATATTTTTACAATTTTACGTATTTTGCAGAAAATTTTGGCAATGGTAGTAGACATATATTATGAATTACTACAATTTCCTTTCTAATATTAGTGAGGTTTATTATTTCGTGAAGCATTTAAACATTGTGTACGGAAGGTAGCTAATGATGTCATTTAAGATTTATGGAAGTTTAATTAAACATTAAGCAGTTTTTTTAGCCAAAAAATTTGAAGGTTTTTGTTGAATTTAGTACCTTTTGTCTTTAACTTGTTTATGAGCGAATCGTGATGTTCTCCATAGTAATATTTTTAAAAATTAAAATTTCAAAAAGAAATGATTCATGCCCTAGCATAATTAGCATAATAGATAATTTTTAAATAAATTTCAATTATAACTTATAAGAATTATTGATGTGCCATATTGTCCGTTGCAATATTGTGTGCATAAAAACGTGCAGTTAGTGAAAGATGGTTTTTAAAGATGCAATTTTGAGACACCACTGTATAATTACTATTACACCCCAATATGCAATTAAATTTGGAGTTACTTTAACCAACTTTATTGCTTTTTTTAAAATATATGTTAATATTTATGTTTAATTTAATAATTTTTTCATTTGTAGTTTTTTGTAGGGCACATTTTTTCTCATACTAACTTAACATATAACTTCTCATATAACATAATTTTCTGACATGCACTAATTTTATGAAGAATATTTTTATTTTATTCTTAAAAATAAGAATTTTCTCGCAGGATCAGTTCTAACAAACAATTTTTACCAGAAAATGAAGCAATTTTTTTCATGCCCTCATAAGATTGATTATTTAGATAATAACATCGGCTTAATTACTTCAGCAAAGTAAATAACTGATTTTCCACGTGCTATATTTTTTCCCATTTCAATTACTTTCCCGAAAGCAATTAATGATGTGTTTTTCCATTCCAAGATAAACTAACATATTTTTGGGAGACATGCAGGAAAAGAGCCCGCATACTTACTGCCTGTTGCGTCACAGCTAGGCGAAAGAAAACACATCATCACGTGTACTTGCCGGTTGGCATGACTACAAGTAAACAGCCCTGGGGGCTAGAGGGATGCTTTTCCTTCGCAAGCTATCAGGTACACTGGGTGAATATAGCGGGGGATTTCGAATAACGGGAGATGGGGTTGCCGAGGCATTCTTTCTCCTCGCCAAGACGCCAAACGATATGCTTTATTAGTAATTAATATGTAAATTACGATATATTGTTTGTAATTAAATTCGATGTATTTACATTTTAGGAGAAGTTGATTTTCGTGCGATCAAATACTACAGATGAAATAAATTTCAGCTTCATAATACTGAATAGTTGAATTAATCTTATTTTTTTCTTGGAAAATATTCGTTTCATGAGCATAAATTTCTAAATATAATTCCTCGTAACATATTTTGAAGTTGAATTCTTAATATGATTTTTATAAATAATTATTATTTTTTACGAATACTAATATTTCAAAATTGGAAATAAAAAATGTATATATGGTGCATAAAAAAGTATGGTCAAAACTACCATAATATATTAAAATTTACCGTGTTTTTGACTCTATATGAATACCAAAAAGCTCGAAAATTTTTAACGAAGCGTGTTTGGTTATGATTTTGTTAAAATTAACAATAAAATGTGGTTTTTATATTATGTGGTAAAATTTGGTAATTTTATCATGATACCTTAGAACATGGCATAAAAACTAACTATTTGTTAAACTTCCTTTTCAGTTTTGAATTTTTTTACTAAATATGTAAATATGTAATAAAAACTATAATTTTCAGGTAAACCGTTACCACATGAATGTAAAATAATAAACGAGTGGTTTAAATGCTGTATATTGTGGGTTTTATTAACTAGAATTTTGTTTTCTTTCAGCAGAAATGTAATAACCATACAGTATGGTAATTTTTCGAGAATGTTTTCCTCGCTATATAAGGAAATATGTATATAATGAATAAAATGAATAATGTATAGTTGAAAATGCAAAATAAAACTTTTCTCAGAAATAAAGACAAGATAATTTTTAAGAATTATGCCATGTAAAAATGCAAAGTTTTAATGCGATATATACTTCATCAGGGAAAGTAAAAACATTCTTAAAAATTATTAATAATTTTTACAATATGTTTTGAATAATAAAATATTTTATACAAATAATGCAGTTTTACAAATTAAAGTATGCATTTAAAATAATATAACATAAAAGTGATAATATAATAATATGAAAGTGAAATTCGTAACAATTAACATGGATATTGAAATTATTTAAGAAGAGTAAGAAAGCGTGGGAATATTTAATATTTTTGTTAATTTTTATAAGTAACTTGAAGTCTTTATTGATTAAATTTTTTATTTTTATAAATTCATTGAGAAATTGATACTAAAATTTGAATTTAAATCACAGTTTCCGTTGAAAAAGAAATATTATTAAATTACTAATGCTTTTCGAAATTATTCCTGATTGTTAGACATTTGAATTACTCTAGTGTATTCTAAAAAACTCAATTTCATGTGCGTTGGAGCTTTTTTTTAAGCCCAATTAATTTTTAATTATGCGAACAAGCTGCTATACGTTTTCCTTGATCATTTTATTACAATTGTAATAAATAATTCTTCCTTTCTCTATTTACATTTTAGGATATGTACCTGGCCAAATTATAAGATTCCATGTGAAATTTTAAATATCAGGTGATACTATACAGCTTTATTGTCTTTATGTGACTGAAACCAGTTTGCACTTGTTTACGTTAGTGTGTGTATCAATTAGTTAAATTAGAAGATATGTAATATAAATTTAGCGTAAGATAAATTAGACGATATATTATATAAATATAGAATATTTAGTATATCAAACATTATATTGGTATATTATAATAGTTAGATAAAATTATTAGACGCACTGTAATTGCATGATTTGCAGGAGTTTATATGCAATACTTTTATATTTCAGGATACATGTAATGGGTTTTTATTCAGGAGATTTTTTATATACTTATATACTTCCTATTTGTATTTATTTTTTACGCATTGCATTACAATGTTAACCAATTGATACAGGAGCGTAAACAAATGCAAACCGGTTTCATCAGAGTAAAAACAATAAAGCTGTATAGTATCACCTGATAACTATAATTTTACATAGAATCTTATAGTGAGTCTAATAATGTGGCCAGGGACTCTAATTAGAAAATAATCTATACAATATATGTAATATTTTACGTTAAAGCAAAATGTATGTTTCAAAAATAAAACAAATTGTATAATTTGTAACGAATCTTAAAAAAAAAACTTAATGAACTAACATAATTTTTTTGAATTATATTACAAAAAAATGGCAACAACTTACTTTTTCAATTTAATCTATTTTCACTTTGTAGTTCCTATTAAATAATTATTTTATTATTTATTTTTAGAGAACAACAACCTGTTGGAACTATGCATTCTATAATTTATGTGCTTGCGAACAAATTTTTTCTCATATTTATTATAGAATTTTTTAATCTTCACTTCTAAGACTTAAGTAAAAAAATTTGTTATTTGCGTGAAAATTTCATGTCATCTTTTTTTTTCTTTTTTTTTTCTTAGAATGTTGGATAAGTTGAGGTGGAGCGTTTGATTGTTTCTTTTCAGACAGAGGTCTTCTTACCTGTATTATTTAAATGATTATATTCAAAGCCGTATTTCAATATGCATTTTGTCATCTTACTGAATTAGTAGGATCATTCGAGCATTTCTGTTTTGTTTTTTTCTAAATTTAATATCTTATAAAGACATTTAATGGCTTTATTGGTTTCATATAAATCCTCTCATAATTACAATTCTATAACACATTAAAACTTTCTTCTCCATTTAAATTTTAAATTTTTTAATGTTCTAAATACATTTATGGGTTTTCTATTAATTCTTGCGTCAGTGAATTTTATTTGCCTAAAATGTATTTATTTCCCTAACCGGAGATTTTGTTAATTGTATAAACAATAACAAAAATGTTAGTAGTAATATAAAAATGCAATATGAACAATAATAATATAAACAATAATCTAAACAAATGTAATATAAACAATAACAAAAATATAAGTAAAACGTATTATACATTTTTCTGTATTTAAATATTCCTATATTTGTGATAAATATAACACTACAGGGTACTTTTTCAAGATTAAGAAAAGGCTCGAAACGGAATATTTTGTTACTGTGTTTCATGAAATTTTTTTGAAAAAAAAAAAATCGGAGTTAATTCTAAGGTAATTCTTCACTGCATTTCTGCAAAGCTAAATTTGAATTTGGTATCCTCTTCAATCCTCCATTTATTAACAATTAAAATTGATTTGCCAATCTGCAAAGATGCTTGTCTCTTAGTAAGGAAAAAGAATTGACCACCAGTCTGTGCTAGTTTGAACGTCGAAGGACATGCTGCTTCCACGCTTGTGACTGCGCTAGTTTGTCGCCAACTGAAATATTTGTAACATAGAAAATTGATTTGGTGTTAATTTTCCAGTTTGAAGCACCAGTTATTTCATATCTAATATTTTAGCTTTAATTTGATTTCAATGGTTTTGTGCTTATGATCGCAAATATTCTATTGTTTACGTTTATGAGTATCAGTGTTTACATTACAGTATCAGTTTTATCAGTATTTACATTTATTATGAGTAATTTATTACATTGTACATTTAGTTTTGTAGGCATGCGAAGTGGCAAAAAAGTCTCCTCACAGTCAAAACGTTTTAACTGATTTTTTTTTCTGTATTCTCTCTGTATTTTTCGTTGTTGTTTGTTGTTTTCGTATGCCTGTTTAGGCAGAGGGGTGCGATTGTTTTTGTTTTCCAGTGGCGCCATCTATGTACGGGAATTCAACTTCTGCCACACCCATACGTCACACCCGTTTATAAGGCGAACCCATTCATACATCCATTCATTCATCCACAGATCGTACTTTTGATTTGAATCAGAGAACGATCGATCTCCAATCCAGTACCCAAAGAGGTATTGATTTGTTATGGGAACATGGAGCACTTTAGCGACTCGACAAATTTAACGCGCATCAGTAACCATTTACTGCACGGGGCCGGCTGGGTTCGTACCCACTAACTCTCAGACATAGGCCCAGCGCTTTACCAACCAGGCTATCCCGACCCTGTATTTTTCGATCAATGCAGTAAATTGAAGATATCGTTATTCACTTAAGTATGGAGTGAAGGTTTAAGATTTCATACGTTAAAAGAAACAAAAAATAGTAGGATCCCCCATAAATAATGCACGTAATGAAGAAAAAAAAACAGCAGTTAGTGATTATATGAAGCAAGAATAAAATTATTACCGATTTATTGCCCTTCTAAATAGTTTCCAAATGTCTTTAGGTATTTTTCCTAAAGATTGGGTTCTTTTCCCTCAGTGAGAAGCTCTCGGTTGCAGAGAACTCCATCAATCGCAACTGTTTAGGTACGTAGCCAGAAAAAAACTTTCTTGCCGTAAATTAGCTACGAGGTAACCTTTAAGCAAAATTAAACAACATTGCAAAGAAATGTTGTAATAAATTACCAAATAAATGGTTAAATAGATAATAGTTCTGAAGAAGATTTTGGTAGTTTTATTGTTGTATTTAAGAGCGCTTCCTAAAAACCATTTATTCTGTTAAATTTACTTTTAACTTTTATATTTTCATTAAATGTGCTGTAGTAAGAGCGATATTTTTAAAAAAAAAATCTGAAAAACCATTCCTATACCGGGTAAAATAATTACGAAATTAAAGTTTAAAATACCGTAAAAATGTCTTTTGCCATAATTTTACTTCTTTTTTTAAATATATTTTACCAGAAATGTTTTTACAATACTAGTATATTAATTTTGCCAGAATTTTTTTACTCAGTGCATAATGTAAAAAAAAAAAGCAGCTAATGATAATATGAAACAAAAATGAAAGCTTTACCGATTTATTACTTTATTTCCCAAGCATTTTCAGGTGGCAGTCCCAAAAATGTGTTAGTTTGAAGCTTCATGTCTTATAAAACTTCAACCATAGACAATTTTTCAAGTTACACAGCCAAAATAAACTTTCTGCTAAAACTCAGCTACGAGAGAACACTTGAACC